TCTGCAAACCCTGTTTTATGACATTAAAACAGTGACCACCACTTTTAAAAGAGCAAATCTAATAATATATTGAAAAGAATTTTCAGGGTATTCATTAAGATTAAAACATGATATTCAGGAAAAAATGGCAGACTCAACACTTGCTGATTTGTTTTTTTTTTTTAACAGATTAGGTCACTGATATTAAAATACTGTAGACTACTGGAACATCCTTTAAATACTGAATATATAAAAATATTTTCAAATAAAAATTTCTTTGCCACTTATCAAATACTTGAGAAACTATTCTACGTGGGATAGTTTGAGGCTTTTAAAACCATATATACTTTGCTATTCTTTCTTTATTCGCAGAGCAAGCACCAAGCATATGTCAGTGGCAAGTGCCACCCATACCTGGGTTTGAATGTCAGCTCTACTGCCTACTAGCTTTTGGGGTCTCTAGGATAAATTTCTTAAAACATTCTAAGTCTCAGTTTTCCAGCTAAAATAGGAGAAAATAGTAAGTACTGTACAGGAGAGAGGGAAGTAGGAATTGTAAAGATAAGAAATAAGAACCTAGCACTGTGACTGGCATATACAGGCAGTTCTCCATTTATGTATAATGACCTTAGTTATCATAAGAACCACACAACACAGTTCCCATATGTGTGCATTTCAGTTAACATAGTGCCATGCATAGTACTGTCTGTAAGTTTTCAATATATGGCAGTTGTGTGTAATTTCACTATATTAATAATGTCAATAAGAAAATGTAGCATTTCACTTTAAAATGACAGTAACATTAATGATTGAGTATTATTTTATTTAATCCTTACAAAATGTCAAAGAGGGCTGAGCATGGTGGCCAGCACCTGTAATCCTAGCACTTTGGGGCTAAAGACGAGAGGACCGCTTGTGCCATCCCAGGAGTTCGAGACCATCCTGAGCAACATAGCAAGAACCTATCTCTAAAAAAAAAACCTCAGACTTGTGGAGGGAGGGAGGAAAAGGGCATTTATTGAAACCTTAAAATCTGTACCCCCATAATATGCCGAAATAAAAATAAATAAATAAAAATTAAAAAAACTATGAACAACAACAAAAAAATAAAATAAAATAAAAAAAAGAAAGAAAACTTAGCTAAGTGTGGTGGCAACTTCCTGTAGTCCCAGCCACATGAGAGGCTGAGGCAGAAGGATCACTTGATCCAGGAGATTGAGGCTGCATTGAGCTAGGATCACACCACTGCACTCCAGCCTGGGTGACAGAGCAAGGCCTTGTCTCTAAAAAAAGTTATAAGGGATGCATTGCTGGAACCATCCTTTTTACAGTTGGAGAAAGGGTGACCCAGAGGTTTGGTCTCAAACTCCTGACCTCCAAGCCATCTTCTCACCTCAGCCTCCCAGAGTGCTAAGATTACAGGCCCAGAGGTTTGTAACTCAACTAAGTTTATGCAGCTAGTCAATAGAAGAGTCAGACAGAAGGGGCTGGTTTCTCTAGCTTATCTCTTTTAGATTTGCATTAAAAAAAAGAAAAGTTTTCTAACTTTCATGATCCTGAGACAAATTTTTCAGTCTTTTCAGTTTTATTGGGGAAACCAGTGTTTGAAGTGGGCCAATATGGGAGCTGGGTGAACTGGGACCTTGGTGCCCTGGGTGATCCAGAGAAGCAGGGAAATCCATTAAGGACAAAACCCCAGAAAGGGTCAGGACTGACCTCATCAGTCCAGCTGCAGAGACCCTGCAAAGGGGTGGAATTAGGAGACTCAATTGGGTAGGCAGGTGGTATCCCAGTGGGCGTAGGGACTGATCACTAGGACTTCAGCAATTGGGCAGGCTTTAGGGTGATGTCTTGTTTTGTTAGAGTGGGGTCAGGCAGAGGAAAGACTTGGATCCTAATGAGGGATGAAACAAGGGGATGCAAACAGAAACCTAGACCAGTGGGCCAACCTAAGAGAGACAGAGGAGAACTGTAAGTAGGCAGCCCAGGTGACCTGAACTTTTCCCTGTGTGCTTCATCTCATATAAGGATCCCACTGATGGAGACTATGGGGCAACCTGGCAGTCATGATGGCAGGGCCACCAGGTCTGGGAGCAGGGCTACAAGCCCACTCCCCTACATGTAGGGTGGAGAGGGGCCAGTTGCAACAACAGAGGTTCCCCGGCTCACAATTGGCAGGCTGGACTGAGCCTTAGGTAAAAAGGACTGGTAGATCCAACCAAGAAAAGACAGGGGATTGAGGGGCCAGGAGACAGCACCCATAATCTTGAGCTTGAAGCAATAGCAAAAAAAAAAAAAAAAAAAAAAATCTATTTTCCAGATGGAGGGAATGATTCACACTGACCACATGTAAAGTGTAGGGCAAGAGGGTTAGGAAGACGAGATCTCAGGTCCTGTGTTCTTCACTTTCAAGAACTCCTTAAGAAAGGTCTAAGATGGGGGCTGTCACCCCGCAAGGTGACTTTCCCCCTTGGAACTTGGGATTTGTAGTAGTCAACTCCGTCCGGGCTGTTCAGGTGAAGCATGGAAAATCAGGCCCACTTGTTGAAAAAAGTGGCTGTAGAGCAAGTGAATGACTTTTGTTCCCCAATTCAAAAGAGAAAAAGAAAGGAATTCATTCTTTTAGAGCCAAAGACAAATGTTACCATTATTCAGAAATGCCACCATGCTTCCGGACTAAAAAAATACCTGCTTAGCTGTTTAAATTAAACAATTTTAAAATTTACAGTGGTTGTCATGAAATGGCAAGATTTTCTAACATCAGATTAGGAGATCCGGGGCTGGAGGGAAAGGAAGAGGGCAGCTCTCAGCCTCCCACGTGCACGGTCCTGTCCTGATGAACGCAGGAAAACAGCGTCTGTGTCATAGAGAGTCTGGCACTGAGCAAGTGAATGTCTCTTGTGGTCAGAGTCGGTTATGGAAAATGTAATGTTAATATATTTTGCATGTGAATAGAGACTTTATTCAGAGCGAAATCATACCAAACATTTACTAGGTGTGTGTGGGGTGGCAGGCAGGGGAAGGTGGAAAGATGCATTTGGGAAAAGCTCCACTGAAACTCTCCATTTACCCCCTTGTTAATCTGTAAAAGACTTCTGGGCCTTCTCTTGTGGAAACTTCCGAAGCAGATGGAAATATTTTAAGATGTATAATACACATGGGCCTGTAGCATGAATTTCCATTTTCCTTACAGAAGTGAGCACAATGGAGTTTGCCTTATCCTTTGGATGCTGGCAAAAATTCCAAGGGGAATTAGGGGAGTTTAGAAGTAACTGTCTGATTTGTGAACATGAACAGCACAAAAGCTGTGCTCCAATTCTTCCCATTCTATTTTCAAGGTTGTGGTCTGCTTCATATCAGGTAGCTGATAGTTCTAACCTTTGGCAACAATTCAGCCAATGCAGCAAATTTCTATTCCTCTCCACCCCAAAGAAATTTTGTCTTTTGAGGCAAAAAAAAAAAAAAAAAATTAGCTCATAGGTAATGAAATAGCCATATCAACATATTTTTCCCCAGAGTACATCATCAATTTTAAATTATAAAATTATCTTTGCTAAGTTACCCTGATTTTAGTAATTTACAGACGATGTAGTACATTCTTAAAAATGCATTTGTATTGGTGTACCATCAACATTGCCAACAATAACTAGATAATAAAATATATATGCAGCATTTTTATGGACGTATAAATAGGGAAATAAGAGTGCTTTAACACCAAAAAATTCTGGGTGAAATTCAAATATACCATCCAAAGAATCACGCTCTAGATACACAGCTTTGTACATCTGTATCACCACATAATAACTGAAATCTACTCTTTTCCTCAGTTTGGGGTGACTTGTGTACTGTCTATCAAAGCAAGGGCCTCACTGGTGCTGAATGGACAGCTCTGGATAGCATTCAGTTTAAGGTGGCCATGGGTGCCTCAGTACCCAAGGATGGCTTCCAAGGGGCTGTGATTGTCACAAAACTAATTGCAAAATTGTGTATGTATGAATGTATGCACCTTTTCCGGAGAGGATCCATAACAGTGAAACCTTGCAACTGATATATATATAAAAAAAGGATAAAGTCTATTGCTTTATTCCTAGCAAAACAAATGGAATTTCATAGGGGGTACCCTATTTATTATAAAAGTTAGTAATGTGTCCCATCTCCTATCCAGACCAGATAACTAAATGATTGTAACCCATTAAATCCATGACAACTTTTCCACAAAGTAAAACAAGGTCTCTTCATGTATTGTCTGTATATTAAATATACCTTAAATACCTCAAATGTTTTAAGATTATACCTTAATATTTTATATTACTATATAATATTTAGGCATATTATACTTAATGTATATAATATATATACTTCATAAAGACTTTATATTATAACATATGAGAATATATTAATATATTTAATCTCAAGTTTATATATTATATTATAATAATATGTATTATAATATATATTTAATGTATAAGTACATTATGCCTTAATAAATATGCCATATAATATTTTTGCTGATCCAAAAGCAAATTATCCTAAAACTTAGAGTTTACTAACTTGTAAGTGGGAGAGGGAGAGTAAATGTTGACAAAAAAAAGAGGGTCCAACCAAAAAGTAACAATCGTTATCAAATGTTTGATTGTCATTATTTCATAGTACACATATTGTAGTTCCTTAAAATATTTGTCTTTAGTGTATTTCATATTTCTGAGGGGGAAAAAAAACACCCCTATTCAATGCTTGAGGTCAGATCAGGGACTGATATGAATAGGAATGAGCATAAAAAAGCTGGAGAGAAGAGGTTGATAAATGTTTAAATTAACTAACTCGATTTCTAAACCATCCAATAAATATGTACCGTAAAAATTTCCAGGCCTATTTTGATCGGTTCACATATTTAGCAGTGGGTTTTTGTTGTCGTTGTTCCATTTTTTTTTTTTTTTTTCCTTTCTCAGCCAACCTGTCAGCTATGGTTACGATCTGCAGCGTTTCTTCAGCATGGACGGGCACACTCTTTTTAAGTGACTCCTGGCTTCTCTGCTCGAGCTGCCCTCCCTCCTCTCTCTCGATCTTAAAATGTTGAAAATTGCTTAACGTGTTTCTAAGAAGCAGACAACACAGTTTACAGTTCTCCTCCTGCCCCTTGCCATATGCGGGTCTACTGATGTGGGTGATACGGTGCATGGTCAAGCTCCGGTGCTGGACTTCGGAGGAAAGAAGTATCTTTGCATTGGGGAAGTTTCCATCAGAAGATCCCTTTCAAGCCCGGTCGAGACTTCAGTCATCCCTGTGTCGCTCGGAGCTCGATCACAGCTCAGCGCGCTGGTTGGAGTACATGCACGTTTTAGGTTGGTGGCAACGGCACAGAAATGCATACTTAGCCCCTTAAGGTGAGGAGTTTTAATTGCAAAATTTTATTCCAGGTTATCGCTTCAAAGAGAGAAATGTAACGTGACCACAAGGGGGCAGCAAAACACACCAGATTCCCTTCGGTTGTGTCTCCACGGGTAAGAGGAAGGCAACGAAAGAACGAATTGAGGTACCTGGCATTTGAGCCGTCCTCCAAACGCTGGCGTTTCTAGCACAAATCACAGTGAGACGGCAGGGAAGGGAGGAGGATGCTATAACTTCCTAGGATAAGTGAGTAAAAAGCATTTCTTATGGAGAGCTGCTGGTGATTTGCACCCAGGGAGGGTTTAAAACCTGCTAGCTGATGGTGACACTTCCCCTTGGAGCAAATTGTAAATAATTCTTCTTCCTTCTCCTCTTATGATTTCCCTGTATTCCAGGGGCAAATAACAGTTGGGCAAAGTGTCAATTAGATTTAACTTTTAAAAATAGGAAACAGACTCTCTTGCAAAAGAAGCAGCAAATACTTATGAATCACTTACCAATTATCAGGCACTGTTCAGCAGAGAATCGTAAAAGTGTCGTAGAGTCCAGGGTGCTGGTTCAAACCTGGATTTCCGTGTCAGACTTTCTTGGTGTGAAATTGTACAGCCTCGGGCAGGTTTCTTAACCTTCAGGTGTCTTAGTTTCTTCATTTGTAAAAAGGGGATAATACAACAGGTTGCTGTAAAATTATACATGCTGTAAAATTATACAGGTAAAATTATACATGTCTGCTCAATGCCTGGCATATGGCAAGAATTCAATTAACAGTTATAAAATTATTGTCATAGATGAGTGGCATATGGTCATATTCAGTAATTACTTTTTGGTAACTAAATGATAATATGTTATTTTATTTAATTATTTCTGCTAGTCTGAGAGATGGGTTTTATTTCCATTTTTATAGAAGAGAAAGTTGAAGTTCAAAAAGGCTGATCATGTGGCTAATATAAATAAAATGGAAGAGCTAGTATTTGAACCCATGGCTTTGTGACTTCAAGCCCATGTACTTTGAACTACACTTGTGCAGGTAGGCTACTATAATTTTTTCTCTGTTGTTGTGTAGTCATATAGAGGAAGCAAATGTTACTTACATATCTCAAACCCAAACCAGCCTCAGCTACAAAATCAGTTTAAGGTAATGTACCTTTAACTCATGATCACCCTTATTTGTTCCTCGCCTACATCATTGAATGCCATCCTTACCATCCTCATCCATAGGAGCAAGTGATTGTTGACATGAGTTAACTCATCTGTGGTAAAGAGCTATATTGACGTCTGGAATCAGAATATGTTCCTGAGGTTTTTTAATCTTTTTAAGAAACAAACAGTAAGTGCATGGAATTTCCTCCACCTGCTGTCTTTCAATATGGTGTAAAATAGTCCTTCTTTTCCCATTAAAGGAGGCAAGGGCCACCTTACATTTTTTTTTTATTAGGGTAGCCACCCTCACTTCTAGGTCTAGAAGCATGTTCCTAACCATGTGGGTTGAGAAACTACACTGAGTGTACCTTTTACATTGAAAATGCAAACATACGAACAAACAAAACAAAAGCAGAGAAACACCTCTGGGTAAAGCAGCTTGATCATCCATAAATTCTTTGTTCTTGTAGACCAGGAGTTTCTCCCCTGTGAGATTAACCGCATCAAGCAACAAAGATAAAGTAGCCCACTAACCTCTATACACTCTTATTCCATCTGAGATTCATGTTACAGAGATGACACAAGATATTTCCTTCAGCACCGATTATTTTCCCAAGTTACTTAACAAAACTCTGGTGTACCCCGAATGAATAAAAGCTGTCCTCAGATCCTAACTTCTTCCCGTAGTGCGGGGAACATCGCAGAGGCAAATGGGGTCTGATCAAGATCCCTCCTGGTGGACATTCCACGGCTGGGACTACCTGATGGCACTCGGCCACCACGACATCAGTTTCACAAGGTTAGATCTAAACAGTGAATGCTCTCAAAATGTCTTCTTAATTACCTGCTGATTTCAAGAATCATATTTAAAGGTACTATTCATTTATATCCCAAATGGAAATTATCTTGTTTGCCCCTTTTAATACCCTTGACATTGAATTGCTGTGGTTTAGGGAGAATTCTAAGTGGACTCTGTGTGCTTATTGAGGGTGAGCCTGGAGAAGCATACTGATTTTCTGCAAGTTTGTCTCTGCAGAGCAAGCAGTCTGGGCGACTGCGTCAGAACATGGGGTGAAGTGGGGGTGAGTGGGTGGAGGTTAAATGCTTCTGGCTTGCCTAAGATCATCCCTCCATTCTCTAACTTATTCTAGGGCCAGACTTGCACTCTGAAGAGTGCTGTCTGTGTACTCCAAAGAAAGCTCTACGATGTTTCTTTGGGTGTTACTTACCTGCAAATGAAACAGCACATTATGCTTGGTAAGTTTCTCATCACTTGTGGTTATTTAAGCATATGGGGAGGAATTCTACAATATATGTACATAGAATAGTCAGATATGGGAAAGGCATAAATTATACTCTGTACAAAGGCTCCTCTACTCATTTTTGATAAATTATAAAATACTACTTCTCATGTCACACTGTGCCTTTAATATTTAAAATGCAATGATATGCTTGCTAAATTTTTATAAAGGAGGTTCTTACATCAGCCTTCCTCATGAAGATGTGTCCTTGCCTCATGAATAAATCAAGGTAGACGAAATTTATTTATTTAATCAGAAATGTTTCTACTCAGCTCTTCCCCCAAAACGCCAGAATTGCTAGTAGCAGATCTCATACACAGAAATTACAGGTGAAACTTTGATAGAAAAGGAACTGGAAAGATAATCACTGATGTTCTTTTTCTCCACTGCCCACCCCTCCCTCCTCCTTTCCCCTCTACTCCCATCTCATTCTTTTTCTCTTTCCTTTCTTCTTTCTTCCTCTACCCTCTCTTCCTCCTCCTCCTCCTCCTCCTTTAAGAAATGACATATTTTAAGACACTGCTGCAGATGATCTAAAACATATATTTACCTCCCTTTATTGGAAATGACCTAAAAGGAAAAAGTGATGTAAAGGAAGAAAATGGCAGGTTAGAATAGTTCATCCTTCTTTTTGTTAGAACAAATGTTCTGAGTGGGAAGATTGGTCTCCAGGAGTATAATATGAAGGTAGCTGGAAACTGCTCATTGTCAGGGTGATGTTATATGCCTGCTTGAGAAATGAAAAGATGATTTAATCTTGTGTGAGTATTTTAATAGGATTAACGCATGACACTGTGGAAATGGCAGAGTAAGGATCTCACCCCAGTGACATAAAGAAATAGAATTATGAAACTGAAGACTGTGTGCTGTCACCCAGTCTGGAACCTCAGCTGTGTTCAGCCTTAATCCTTGCCCAGGTTGGAGACCTCATCCATGTTGTTTTGACTTCTATCCAGAAGTTGTTCTTCCCCATTGAAAGTGAGAACTGCTTCATCAGGGCAGTAGGGAAAGACATATAAAACAAGATAATCTGGAAATCTGGGAGAAATGTCTTTTGTCCACGAAGTTAAACATATCTCAATAGCCTGAGGTTTAAAACGACAACAACAGCAACAAAAGCAAACAAACAAGAATAAGAAACAAAGACACTATTAGCAATGATGATAACCAAACCAAACAAAAACAAAAACCATCCTCTACCTCTCTGGGTTGCAGACTTTTAACATCATTTTAAAGTTTGCAAAAGTAAGAGATTTTCTTGTACAGAATGTAGACATGCAAGCAGAATAAAATGAAACTCACAATCCTGGCATTCAGAGATAGCTACTGCTAACATTTATGGGTATAGACCTGTGTGTGTGTGTGTGTGTGTGTGTGTATGTGTTTCCCACACACAACCAACACTCACAATTATAAATTTATAAAAATGGAAACGTTTTTTGCTTTTATTCTTCTTTAGCATATTCATCCTTAAATAACTGCAAAGCATGTGATCATATGAGTGTACTCTAGTTAATGTAACAGGTCAATATTGTTGGGTTTGCAAGGTGTTTTGCAATTTTTTCTTCTTATAAGTTGTTTTATTGAAATTGTTGTTATAGCCAAATTTTTGTGACATTACAAATACTTACTTAGGATACATTCCTGGAAGTAGGATTTCTGTGTTAAAGGTTAAAAACATTCTAAAAGCTTTTATTATTAAATAACACCAAGATAGGAAAAAGTCTCACCCAAATATCCTCTCATCCACACTACATGAGACAGCCGGGGTTCTCACTATTCCTGAAGTAATCATTGAAGTTAAAGCAAATATTTACCAGTGGATTTTTAAAGAAGAATGACAAGGCAGTTCTGTTGCTTTGAATACTCAGAATTTATTGTCGAACCAGGTCTTTTTCAGGAATTCGCTTGTTACCAAATGACTTAAGAGTCATATTCAAGCAGAAGCTACAAAAGGGGTCATGCCAATGGTATTGTTCACTCACTTATAAGAAAGGTCACGTCTTTCTTGCTTTATTCAAAGTAGCGGAAGCTGGCTTGCGTCCAGCTGGGATATCCTGATTGGAAGTTAACTTGGACACCCAGCTTTGCTTCTTCCTAAAAATCCTTTTGGAGCAAATTCCTTAAAGAAGAGCATGATGTCTACACGTGCTGGTTTGCACATACACAGTGCATAGGACACGTGATCTACTTTAGTCATCCCATGTGGCTTTGAGGTCCAAGGGGAGGGGGAGAGGAAAGAGGCTGAGAAAACTGGAAGTTCTTCCTGGTAAGTCCATATCAAAGATTAGTGTTTGGCTCACGAACAGCTGTTACGCTAATTATTCATATTAATAACAATGAGTAATGATTTTTAGAAAAATCACGAGCACCAGCCGACACTACATTTAGTGCCATACAATATTCTTAGGTCAAAGTCCTTGTTAGACTTTTTATAATAGCCTTTAGAATAATATCTTACTTTCACAAAGCTCTTAACGGTTGACAAAGTATTTTCATAATGATAAGCTCATGCATGGCGGTTGGTCAGGTTTGATGGTACTTCAAGCTTTTCCCTGTGTTTGAAGAGTGCTCAGTTTCAGACCTTCTGATGATTCCTTCTGTTTCAGGTTTATAATTTAAGTCCTTATTTAAAAAAAAAAAAAAAAAAAAAAAAAAAAAAAACAATGGTGGGCTCAAATCTTATATCCTACTTCTTAAAGGGATACAATAAAATAAAAGATGCATTTAGCTCTTATGACACATTAAAATAAATAGAAGTTATATAAAAGTCAAATATGTGGCAAGATGAGCTTTCACTCAATGCTTTGTCCCCTTGGAAGTCAACAAGAAAATGTCCTATGGGTCTTGGATTAGAAAAATCCCCAAACATCTTTCATGCATGGCTGGATGCGTAAGACTCAGTACGCTGGCTCTAATCCAGTGCAATGGGGGAATTTCAAGAGCTGGTTCACATATCTGTAATTTTCCAGCTTTAAGCACACACTTCCTATCCTGGCCATTTGTGTTCTCTGGGAGCAGCCAGCAAGTTGCTTGTGCAGAGGACAAAAGCTTCTTGATACCTTAAAACCGTAAAGGGCTGTGGGATGTTTTTGGATGAAGAGTTCAGGGAGATCATTATTTTTGTAACCACTGTGTTGTCATTAGCACAGCTCTAGACTTACACTGTTTTATCAGGGTGGTTTGCATTATTAGTTTACTTGCAGAATCATTATGAATTATTGCTGCTGTCATTCCACTATGGGGAAGCCCAGTAAACTGGAGGAAATAAAAAGGCATAGTTTTTTTGTTGTTGTTGTTGTTTTTGTTGTTTTTAATCCTAGTTTATGAGCTTCAGTGTTCTCTAACGTCCTTTGGAAATTTATAAAAATAGTTGTCAATTCTGAGAGAGAGAGAGAGAGAGAGAGAGAGAGAGAGATATGCTGGTACAGAGAACCACCTGAGGAAGCTTCAGGGTACAGAGGGGCCCCAGAAGGTCTTTGAGCAGAAAAATAGTAGCATGAGCAACAAACTACCTTGTTTGGTTGGAATGAAGGATTCTCACAGAAATTTGAAAGCAATGGATTAAAAAGATAAAATTAAGAGCCATTTGGCTCTGCAGGTTTACAGTATCTTTTAAAAAGCTGGAGCTAACTGCTAAGCAAAATCTCCCAAGAAGATGGAGACACATAGTATGTCCTTCACGGGCTACCTGGCCCATCCTGGGTGCCAAGTTGTCCTTCATGACAGCCTTCCCTGCTCATAGCTAAGTATGGTGACTGTGACTGGCCAGAAACCCTTGTTGGGGGGAGAAGGGAAGAGTGGAGGCACTTACACAAGAGATACATTAATACTTCTCATTGCGGAAATGTACAAACAAACCCAAAGCCCACCACTCTTGCTGGATCTACTTATCCCTCTAGATGATCTGTGCTCTTTTGTGATTTTGGCTTTCTGTAAATGGTATCCCACTGCACACATAAACTTCCTTATGCTGTGTCCAATATTTCCTATAGCTCTTTCCATATATGTATACTCAGAACCATTTTTTAAATTTTAAACTGCTGTGATACATTTCAAAGTATGGATATACCCCAGATATGCAGTCATTCTCCTATAAATGCATACTTTGGTCTTCCTGATGCTGCCTGTTTGATAAGAACAATGTTGTGGATTTCACGTGCTTGCCGTCAGTTATTTTCTGCCCAGGCAGGCAAATGAGAAATGATATTCCAAGAATGTCTAAGGTTGGCTGGCTGGCCAGCAGAATTAGGATTGTCAACCTTATGTTTTTGGCTCTGCATTTGTGTGAGCAAATGCGCTAGACCTAGATTGCCCCTTCTAGCCTGAGAAACAAAGGGCTCAATCACAGTACTGAGGGGAGTATGTACAACCAGTCAGGGGACACTTGTAATTATTCCACAGGAGAGTTATATTATACTACATTTTTCTGGCTTTCCACTCCTTTCTCAAAGGGTGGGGGAAAAATACTTTTTAACCTATATTTTAGACAACAGTGAGAAACTTCTACGCCCACACTTTCATTACTTCTCAGTTTATAATGGATTAATAGAAACAACTATGAAAACTTAACATTTTGGCATCAGCTTGTGGTAAAGCTTAGAACATATTCTTTATAGCCTAAATGTTGGTATAATTTCTGATTTTAACGACTATGTTGCCTTCTCGTTCTGTGACAGAGACTTGGCTGATACTGGCTACGGTATGGATATATCATCTGAACTGCTGTAAAAGGGGTTGTCAACTTCACTCCTAAAATCATTAAAAGAACAAATCCTATTATGAAAAATAATGATTTGATCATAACATCTATGACAAATAGAGCACTGATTAATTAAAATGACCTAGTTAAACATATTAATTTTGTTCATGGGTTTTAAAGTTTTATGTTCCCATTGAGCAGGAAGGAAGAATTTATCTAAGGCCAAGTGGAGAGTATTACAGGTGATATTCCTG